CCATGTGTCAAGTCCTGACTTGGCACAATGGCATATAATATACAATTTATATGAATTAGAATGTGTGATATACAATCATTATTATTATTATTGTGCCTGATCTTAGAAGTGAACATTTTTCTGTCTGTTGTCTATTGTTCTGGCAGAATCTAGCTACATTATTAATTATACTGTGGTTTGAGAAAAACAAACCGAGGTCCTAAATGTCACGTCAGCCACAGAAAGCCAGCAGGGACCTTGGAAACCAGCGCAAGCTCAGCCCAGTTCCGCTGCACTCTGCCATCCCCTATGACCCTGTAGGAGAGCAGCGATCGTCTTCAGCTCACTTCACTATGGTTAGGGCCTTCAGTTGGAGCCCTGGACATGGCAGCTGCAGCCCTGACACTCCAGGAGAGTGAGATCGTTTTATCTAGCTGTTTCCAAAGACCCTGCAAATGCCGCATGATACAGTGGTTTCTAATTGCCACATGTGTGTACTGTGTGCTTTTGCGTTCTAGGCGAGAACTTCGTAGTTTGTACCTGGGCAAGAGCTGAGGTCCATTGTTTTCTATAGTCAAACTCAAAAGGCACGTGCAATTTCAATACTTTATAACTTTCTAGGCAAAATTACTTACCCTGGTGGGACCTCGCTTTCTGAACATCTCTGTAGTATATAGCTTCACCACACCGCACTAGCCACATGTGAAATTCTAGGTGCCCATTGGAAACCCTACTTGAATATCTTCAGCCACAGCTAAGCAGACTTAAATAAACCTCCCGGGTCTCCCTTTCCTCAGGTGTTCACTCCACATTGGGCTCTTAGAATTTTGAACCCTTTGCAGAGAAAAAGAGTCTAGGTACCTAAGATGATGGAATAAGGAACATTTGTCTCTAAGGTAAGGCAAAGTAACCTAAACTATGTTGCACTAGAAAAAGTAGTTTAAGACAATATGTCATCAACAGGTTAAAAAAAAAAAACAGTAGATGATAATTGATCATCATTTCAGTAGTAAGGTATGGCTTGACTTTCACTTAATACTAGCAGAATTTCAGTTAATACATTTCATACCCTCTTCCACAAAAGTGATCTTTGAATACTGAAAAAAAAAAAAAAAAACCAAAAAAACAAAACCAGTCTATGCCATGTACTGAAAACAATTTTTAAAAAGTTATTTTTTGAGAGAGAGAAAGAGGCCCTCCGACAGGGTCTTTACTCTGCTGTCTGTTCTCAGTGTCAGCTAGCCTGATTGTGGACATGCGGACAGCACCCAGCACGCTCCCTGAGGCAGCCCCAGTGCCCTTCCCATGGGTCCAGATGTGTTCACCACTGCACCATCACCTGGCCCGTGACACACCACTTAAGAGAAGTGTATCACACAGTCTTTAGTTTGTGTGTATGTGTTAATGATACTCTTTACGTTTGTAATTTAAAACTTCTAGCAATCATGGACACGAAAGCTTTTTTAGTTTACGTTGGGTAAGTGGGAAAGCTAGTCCGAATTAAAGATATTTAAAGAAATCTCTAGTAGGAGTTGGCCTACATGTAGCAATTTTTTTTAAAAGAAAATATTGCTATAGGGTATGTGTGCTTGCCATAGAGACAGAGAGAGGTAGACAGAAAGCAAGAAATCACCCTCCAGGGAGGATGACCACACCACAATCCCTTCTCCTCCATTCCCCTCAGGATCTTGGGCACGCATACACACGCACCCACCCAGTGTGAGTTTTAAGCCACCAGGTCCAGGACTCAAACTGCGGTCGATTATGTGGGAGTCCAGCAACTCAACCATTATACCATCTGCTGGACCCACATGTGGCAGTTGTAATCTTTAATGGCACAGGTTCATAATGATACATGCCACATTATGAAAGTATGCTTCCAAAGGTCTTGAAAAATTTGTTCCCTCAAATAGGGTATGTATTTGCCTCCACCATTTACACTATCCAATGTGTAAGATAGGCTTTCCCCCTTCTTTCTCTAGAACATATAGAAGTAAACTTGGGAATCCGTCATTAGGAGGGTCTTCACTTCTTCAGAAGTAGTTGATTGCATCTGAAAATTGTAGTTTTGCTATATTCAAACTGTTCTTGAGTTTCAAACAGGTTTTCCCCACTTTGAAGACACATTAGTTCTGTCTTAGAGAAAAGCAAACTAAAAATTAGACTGGGAATTATAAAAGAAGGCTTAAAAACAGACATGCCATCTGCTTGGTGCTGAGTGATAACTATCAATTTTTCTAAAATTAATTTAAGAAGTACAGAAGACTTTTTTTTTCAGATGAGGAGAGATGTTATAAAATTCTAAAGTTTATTTGAAAGAATAGTCAAGAGGAGCTAAGAAACAAAGAGAGGCAATGAAGAGAAACGGGTCCTATCAGAGGCAGAAACCACAAGAATTAGTACTATAGCATAAGACGATAGTATTATAGTATCAATAGTATAATCCTGGATCAAAGGCAGACCAGGGAACAGACCCATAAATAAAAATCAAGGTCAAAGAAGTCATTGCATACTAGAGAGGCGTAGAATAGCACTGGGGCCGGCAGGTGGAGTGGTGGTTAAGGATGCTGGACTCCCACATGGCTGAATGCAGTTCGTCCCGTACCTAGTGGCCTTTCTCTCTCTCCTCTCTTTCTCTCACTTTGACACTTTGTTCCTCTCTGGTCAAATTAAAATAAATAAATTCAATTCAATTCAATAAAATAATTCTTAAAAAAAAAAGAATACACAGTGTTAAGTCAACTGGCTCTTTGGGTGTGGGGTATGGGAATCAGTGTGGCTCCCACATTCTTTTTGGTAGAGTAGAGTAAGATGTATAAAAAGCAGACAAAACTAGTAAACAGTTGCAAACTTCAATAGCAGGGTGTGAAAAAGAGTCAACCATTTCCCTCAAAAATTTTAAAAACCTCTCAATGTAAGAATTGCTAAAAACATGGCCGACAGGTGGTATGGTGATGAAGGGTGCTGGACTCCCACATGAAGGACCATGGTTCAATTCCCGGACCTGGCAGCTTGCTTTCTCACTTTCCCTCCCTCTCTCCTTCCCTCCCTCCCTCTCTGGTTAAATAAATAAATAAAGTTAAATAAAAGGATTCTTTTTTAAAAATTGCTAAAAAATAAGTCAACTGGAAAATGTCACAGATATAGTAAAGAGTAATGATTTAAAAAATTATGGTAAATTCATACAGATCCCTAGGGAAAAAAATAAAAGTGAATTAGAGAAAATAAGTTACATACACGTTACTTACAAGAGATTACATGTTATTGGGTATGTTGAGAAGTGATTGATTTTGGGGCTGGCAGGTGGTGTGGTGGTTGAGGGTGCTGGACTCCCACATGGCCGACTGCAGTTCAAGTCCTGGACCTGGCAGCTTGCTTTCTCATTTTCCTTCTCCCTTTCTCTTTTTCTTTCTCTCTATCCCTTTCTGGTCAAAATAAAATAAATCAATAAAGTTAAATAAAATAATACTATTTTTAAAAGTGATTGGTTTCTATTTCTGTTACCAGTGACATTAAAGCAGTGAGATAATTTTCACTAATGATTTTGAAAGTTTTCTTCTGTTTTGCTTTATTTTGAATACTTCTGAGGGTTTGGTAAAAGTTGTTTGCATAGATTGCTGATAGGAACATTTGATGTAGAGGATTACAATATAGATCTCTTTAAAATAAGCAGTTTGTACTAAGAATCTTACCAATGGTAGTATTATTAAGCAAACGCTGCTTTACTTTTTTTTTTTTAAGAGAGATTTTTGCTATAAGGTGTGTGCACTTGCCAGAGACAAAAAGCGAGAAATCACCCTCCCCTCCCCCCAGGAGCGATGGCCATGCTACAACCCTTCTTCTCCATTCTCCTCTCAGGATTTTGGGCACGTATGCAGCACACACGCCTGACATACTGGGTCCAGGACTCAAATCATGGTCCACTTTGTGGGAGTCCAGTGCTATAACCATTACGCCATCTACTGGTCCCAGCGAAAGCTCCATTTTGAGTGTCCGCACTAATAAATTAATTCTCCACACATAAAATAGTTAAAGGTTGGTGTCATTTATAAACAGCCAACACAGAAGGGACAGTTAAGAATCTGACAATGGGAGAATAAGGTTGATATAATAACATGTTATCATGGGCTCAGGAACCAAGCTTGCTGGCCAAAGTCAGCCTGCTGCCTGGGTTTGTTCATCTGTGAGCTAAGGATATTTTATATATCATTAAAATGTTTAGGGAAAAAAGTAAAAGAATGATATTACATGACACATAAATTATGTGAATTTAATATGAAATTCATATGTCAGAGCCCATTCCACTGTGTAATGTCCACAGCCGCTCTCAAACTACAATGGGTCGGGACCAGCAGTTGGCGTAATGGCTATGTCGCTGGACTCCCATGTAGTCGACTGCGGTTCGAGTCCCGGATCTGGTGGCTTAAACTCACGTCGGGTGCATGTGCCCAAGATCCTGAGAGGGGGGATGGAGGAGAAGGGATTGTGGTGTGGCCACCCCCA